AGAAAATTATATTTTAATAAATCGTTATTTTCTCGCTTGTTTGAGATGTGATTTTGAGATAGTTATATATAAGTAGAACACTAGTTCCTAAAGACAGTCTTATTAGTCTGCAGTGCTATAGTTAACGACTTGTTAGTTTGATTTTCGTGAGTTCAATTCTCATGTCTACTATTCATGAGTCTCGTACCTGCATTTGTTTCATAACTTCAAGCCGCATTTAGTTATTTACTCTCGTGAACTATATGTCCCATATGTTCATGGCTTCGAGCCACGTCTGGTTTATCTATACTCATAGATTATGTGTCTATATTTGTTTCATTTCTTTAAACCATATTTGATTAGTTACCTTCATGGATTATGTGTTTATATTTGTTACTTATTCTATAAAGTTCTTGTAATATTATTTTTAATTGATTTGTAAAATATATACTTTATTGATTTTAATTAGAAAATGTTTCTATTCTTATTTATTTAATCTCTGGGATTTCTCAAAAATTCTGTTATTGTAATAATTTAATGATTCAATACGTTTGGAGCTCCATAGAAATTTTTTTTAATCCTCAATTTTGGTGGTTATATTACATTGATTGGCTCTCTTTAATTTGTTTATAGTTAAGTGAATATATTCATTCATATTATTTCAATTTATTATTAGGCTGTTAGTAGCTGAAAAACTATTTTTAGTATTAAATTTCATTGCTGACATTGCACCTCCCTCTAGACATAGAGGGGCTATCTTTTGACTTGAATTGAATAAGCTATTGACCAATCATCTTTTGATGTGAAAATTTGAATTATGAATTTGTGTTTTGTAAATTATGTTTTAAGTGCTTTGCATAAACTATAGTTAAGATTCTTGATTGATTACTTGCATTATATCGTTGGTCCACTGGTGGGAGATGAGCTCCCTTTTTTTTTATGTTGTTATAAAAATGTTGTTGTAGAATTTTTGAAAAGTCTAACTTTAAAGAAATATTCTGCCAATTTTTTACATAAAGTTCAATATTTTGGTTTATATGAAAGAGTATTAAATCAAAATCTTTTTTAAATCAAGACTTAAGAGATATAAGTTTTGTGCACACATTTCTTGCTGGTCACACTTTTTTTGGGACATCACACTATTTATAATAAAACGAAATTGGAGTATATATCAATATAATCAATAGACATTTAATTTATATGCTGCTAAAAGAAGTTCATCATTTTAATCAGATATTTATTTATATGGTTTGGTTGAAGCGTATTAAATATTTATTTTATCTGTCCTTCTTACTTATGAGTGAACATTAATTGGAGAGATTTTTTTTATGAATATATAAATAAATATTATGAACTTTACAAATTGAAGCATTTATTTTTTATAGATATAATTATTTGATTGTATAAGATAATTTAAACGTTGTCGAGGCCAATTATTGGGGGTTGCTCTCCTTAAAGGGCTTTTTATATCCATAAGAGCTTACTGACCATAACCCCTTCCCACTAGAACCAACACCAATTGGTCAAATTGGTGGAGCGTTTGTTAACAAGGTGACGAGATAGTGAAATGGATAATATCACTATATTTACTACTCATCCAAAATTTTGTTTTACTTGGGTACACTATGAGAATAATGTTCTTGATAAGAGAAAATTAATCATTAACTATCGTTAAAACACCAAAAATTAAGAGGTGTTGGTCTGGTTGAATTAGCTGTTATTCTTCTTTATTCAACATTTTATTTTAGTACACAGATTAATGTGATAAAATATACTTAGAGAGGCAATGAGTATTATTTAAGTAACTGAAATCTGAATTCTAAAATGCTTCTTGAGAATAATTATACATTTATACTAATGATGGAAAATAGAAAGCAATTCTGAAGGGGGGTGAAAAATGATTATCTGGGCCGCAAAAACCAGAATCAATGCTTCCAGCGTCGAAGGCATATTCCTTTTTCCCCCAACGCATAGAGTGCGCATTTAACGCCAATCTCAACATCACCACTACTAGCATGCACCGCCGCTGCTATCACTGATCGTCGCCACCGCCAGCTAATCCCATCGACCACCATCATCAACCAGTGTCGACCACCAGCAACAACCATTGCCATTTATGGCTGCGCATTGACCATCATCAAACACTTTCTACACATAACAGGGAACACGAGTGATTCAAAGAAAAAAGAAAAAGGAAAAAAAAAAGGTCATAGGGAGGAAACAGAAAACACAGACATATGCATAATGGGTTTCAGGCTCCATCAAACAACAAAATACGGATTGACAAGCATATTTTCTCAAGCTGATAATATGAATTAACCTACAAGTTGTCAGCTGTGAGTTTGGCGAGTCGGGTTGGCATAACTCGCATTTTACGTTGGTTGTAATTTTGCCAACCCGTAGCGGTATTTGCAAGTAAAAAAATATTTTTTAATTTTTTAAATTATAAATTCGCCATTTTTTTGTGGTAAAAAATCATATATTCCTCCTCAAAACTAATTATCCAAAAATAGTAAAAATTCTTCTATTCAAGCCATGCTTATATCACCACTTAAATATAAAACTAATTTAATTTTATAATCTTTTCATTCTTTAATTTTTTACATGACTGATCAATATTATACATATATGAATTAATAAAAATGTTCTTTATATCCCATTTTTTCTTCATCCTATTTCGACATTTTTGCTACAAAATTGATCCCTAGTTTAAAATAATATCATGGTGATTTAATCTATGGCTATTAGACTGCTGCTCATAACATGTTCAATTCATACTACCTAAATGTTTTGATATTTGTATATGTTTTTTTTTTCCTTTTATGTTCAAATTAAGATGATACTATAATATATAGTTAGCACTTTATAAATATGTTTATTTTTTAAATAAAAATGATAACTAAACTTTTTTTTATTTGCTAACTTTTTTAGCACTATTTTGTGAACAAGATAATTTAAATAAGCTATTATATGAATGAAGCATAGTATAATAAAATATTTTATTTAATCTTGTCTTAATCACATTCAAATTACATTATAGGGTAAATGTGCAAATTTAGCCACATATTATTTTCTCAAGAGCATCTGGTAATATAAACTATTAGGTGGTCTAAAATAAATCCTCAACTTTAAAAAATAAAATATATAGTAGCCTATCATTAACTTCACCTAACGGACGTTATGTGAAGCCTGCAAATGACATGTGGTACTCCATGTCAACATGTGTAAAGGTGTAAATTTAGCTATGAGCTATTTTCCAAGAAGCATTGAATAGCCTCTATTATAAAAAGCGAATCATCCAATACCTTCTCATCAAATTTTGCCCAAACGATGCCAATAAAATAGAAGCTTGATTTCACTATGCGTGGGACAATTTTGATTCTAGCTTAATTTAGCCACGAATTATGCCTTCTAATTTGTTGTCATCGTCTTTATGAATGTCTTCAGATATAAACTCTTTAAACCTCTTCTTCTTGAGTTGAGACTTAGAATGAAGGCAAGAAGATTGGAAAGATTGATGTATCGTGGGTTTCATAAGTTAAAAAATAAATAGTATTTGATCAAAATTAGTGGAAAGGTGTTACATGGTCCGTTTTTTATAATAGAAATTATCTAGTGCTCCTCAAAAAAATAGTTCGTGGCCAAATTTGCATTGCCATATGTCATTTGTAGGCCCATATAATGTCTGTTTAGTGAAGTTAATGACGGACTACTTAATGCTTCATTTTTTAAAGTTGAGAATTTATTTCTCAAAACTTGACAATTTAAGTCACCAGATGCTCTTGGAAAATAATTCATGACCAAATTTGCTACTTGACCCTACATTATAGTCACCACTTAAATAAATGAGCTATGTCTTTTTATTGTTTACTACCACAATTTAAACTTGAATTAAATAAATATACAAGTATTAAGTACTAGACTATAATTTCATGCATGCTTGCTCTGAATGCTTTACTTTAAACTCAATCTCATTAATTTTTTTTGTCTATTTATAAAAAAAATTAGCACGCTAATCTTTCAACCTGTGGGTTAGCCGGTTGTAAGTTTGAGTTATGCAATGCAAGTCAAAACCACACCGTATCTAATGGAATTCATTTTTTAAACCTAACGTGCCACTTCTTTGTGGGTTGGTGGGTTACTGACTCTAGTAGTTTCTACTATAAAAAGCGCATAAGGATAGTATATTACAACTTTATTAACTCAAGGCAACAACCATCAGCATCATCATTAAATTCATGACACCCCCATATTATTGCCTTGTAACCTACAACTGCAGAATTCAAAGTCAAGGGACCAACATCTTAATTTTATTGTCGGATATTAAAGTAAAAACAAAAAACATAAATGACTCGAGTGAAAAAGTAAATAGAAAATTAGGGTTCCCTTCCTATTTTCCCCCACCCCCATGTCAGCAAACATAATATATTCTGACGAGGCTGTTGTACGATGTAACTGTCTGCTTTCAAGCAATATAATATTAGGCACAGATCATAGAAAAAGGAGGAGTAATTACGCGAGCACAAGTTTGTGTAGTTAAGTCCCCACACTACACTCACCTTTCTAAACGGCTCTCTGGCCACAAAATTATTTCAATGTTTGCTCCGACGATTGGATAGACAAGAAGAGGCAAGTGGCTTTTATTTTAACAAATAAATACAACCAACGAAATATGGTTTAATTTATTGGCAACGATCCAACTCATACCCATAAAGGAATGGGCTTGAATCTTAACTTTTGCTCTTAGATAAGGATTCTCGGCGGATATTAATTTGTTGGTATTTTTGTAAACGCTTTTTTAACCTTGACGAGCAAGACATGCTAATTATATGCTTAATTTTGTGCAGGGCTTGAGATTAGTGAGTCCTCAAGACCCACGACCCCCCTAAACTTTTATCCTTAAGAAAAAACTTGTAAGGACGAAAAAGAAAATAGATGATAACCAGATAAACAATCGTACCGGGAAATACCAACTTCTTCCACCCCCAAAATTAATTGTAACTATACTAGATTTGCATAGCTTACTTGGACAAATTTATTCATAATAATCTATTCTTTCATGTCCTTAAACTCCATATACCAGTTAAATGTTTACATGCATGGTCATTACTTTCATCGTTTCTAAGTTCTGAAAAAAAAAAAAACACATGAAAAACCTGAGCCACTATTACGTACAAGATTTCAAGAAAACATTTAAAAGAGCTTGTACTCTGTACTATATGAAAGCAAAAACGTATATATGTGCATATACATTCAAACGGATTGTAATTTTGCTGTCACAATCAATATGTTTATTGCCATATGTATATATATTTAGTCCTAAATATTCAGAAACAAATTGGCAATAAATTCATTGTCCAAAGCGATCACCAGTCTAGCTGCTGCGCGCGTACTTCTGTCCTGTCCAATTAACCTCCCGAACATTCAGTTAATTAATTAAGCCTTCTTATTCTCCTCTTTCTCCTTCTTCGAAGGAACCCTACCATCTGTTCCAGCAAGTATAGCATACTTATCTTTCCTCGTCAAACTCGTACACTCAAACCCCAGCGTCCCAGCAAGAATCCTCTGAATATAATTCGCAACTTCAAAACTCGACTTCCCTCCTTTACATGTGAGCTCAACGGGAAGCTGGTTCAGAAAAGTGATCTCATAAGTAGGCATAGGGTTCATGAACACAAAGTAAGGGTCCAATAACTTGTGCCCTCGAACTGTGGTCCCATTAAACACAGTCTGCTTCGTGTTAATAGCTACAGGAACGATCCTATCAGTTAATTCAGCAAAAAGAGCACTGAACCTCAACAGAAACGGTTCTCTGCATGTGGTTCCCTCAGGGCAGATCATTAGGTCCCCGTCTTGAAGCAGTCTTTTGATGTTTTCAGCGTCTCTCTCTCTTTCTCTGGACAAAGGAACAGTTTTGATTGGGGACACAATTTCAGTGAACCTGCTTATGCTGTAGGTAACGCAGCTGATTTTTCTCTTGAGAGCAACCGCCGTAACCACCGGGTCGATGACGGTACGGTGGTTGGAGACGAAAAGGACTCCGGTCTGGCCTTTCTTTGGAGGAGGGGGTGGAGTGCCCTTAACAAGGACTCTGATGCCGAGAAGCTTGTAGTTGTACCAAGCGAGTCTTTCAGGTAGTGGGACGTTGAGGTATACCCTGAGGATTGAGAGTACGATGCCAATGGGTAGCCAGAGGAAGGTCAAGAGTGCTATTAGAGGGGTTGGCCTCTGAGCAAACCGGCCGTCATGGAAGATAATTGGAGTTAAAAGCTTGTTCCTTGGTAGTGGCTCACACTTCGTTCTTGGCACTACATATCCTTCCTGCACAAATGTCAAATAAACATGTAATATAATTGATATCTAAGGAAATATCTATATGTGCATGTGAATGCAATGATGAAGGGGATCTTTGTTCGGTGAGTGTCCCAAATTCTCTCACCCAATGACTGTTTCACTTGACTATGGCTTCACCTTTTGTTGTGTCATATATCTTAATCTAACAGTTCATATGACTATTTTTTTTTTAAAAAAAAAAAAAGCTGAAATGCATCCACATATAACTTTCCTTTAGTTCACTGTTACATATATTTTTGGTTAAGCATGGATTTTCAAACGTTAATGAAATCCTATGGCTATAATATGAAACAGTCATAAAATCTCGATCCCATAGCAAGGGGAGTGGTAGGATGGGAGCCATAAGTATTCAATTTTTTTGTACAACCTTTATGCTATACATGATTTTCTATCTCGACTGGCCCCACCCCAACACATGCATATTTAATGGTCCTTAAACACATGGAGGAACACATGGAGGGGCCATTTGAATGATATATACGGAAGGGTGGAGTAAATATTCTGAAAGAAGGGATTGAGGAAATAAGGGGTATTGTAAAACGAAAGGAATCCATATATAAACCTCTTAAGAAATACATGAAAACATGTCAGATCATGTGCTTCGTATTAACGCTTTCACCAAATTCATCAGTTTCAAATTTATCGCCATCGTGTATATGTACTTGCACTTTAATTGTCTCTTCAAGTTAATTCGTTAGTCATTTTTGAACACGCGCGCGCGCTCGCGCGTGCACACACACACACACACACATATATATGCATGCATGCATATAATATAAAAACTCTAACATGTATTTTTCAAACATATGGATCCGCACTGGTTATTTCAATAAAAGAAAAGGAATGTGTTTGTGTGTGTGTGTGGAACATAAAACAAGACACAACATCACTTAATCTAATCAAAATATCCCACTGTGGCTGATCAAATTTATGTAGGAAGATTCTATTTTTAACTTATTTATCAATATAAATATCCAGCACGTATGCATGAATCTTCAAAAGTGATCACATAATATATAATTTTGAAATCATGTACATATCTTTATATATAATTATAATATTGAAAAATACGATGACAAAAGTATTTTGATTTAATATACTAGATTTTTACTAGTTTCCACTTTTGTGTAATATTTTTTTGTTAAATTTTATAATGTGAACTTGTAGTTTTTCAAACTCTGGGCAAAGTGCAGGTTCTAATAGAGATATTAAAAAAGGACTGGTAAATTTAATGACTTAACGGTTTAAGCCAAAATTAACGTGAAATTCACACACGGGCATATATATATATATATATATATATAAAACAAATATATAACAAAAGAACTTCAACCTGAGATGACATGAAGTCAAAATTGACATGTAGACAGTGATCAGTCACAAACCTTGCAAATTGACATGAAGTCAAAATCAGATTCACTGTCTCCCAGTCCCAAATCTGGCAATTTGGATCCAAATTCTTTCAAAACAGCTTCTCTTTTGTGCTCACCAACCAGCACTCCTGGTTCCTTGACAAGCCCTGTCAATTTCTTCCCAGATTTCGTGACTTTCAGCTCTGTCCCAAGAATCTTATCTACCTCAAGAAACGTCTTCGCAAATGGCTCCACTATCAACCTCGGGCTCGCCGTCAAGATGCATCTCTTCCCGAAAGAATTGAACACCCGCCACGTCTCCGGGTGGACGTCTTCAGCGTAGAACTTGGGCAACACCGACCTGGACACCAGCTCCACGTCTCTGGTCTTTAGTCCGGCGAAGGTGATGAAGATGAGAGTTTTGATTGCCACGGTTTCAGAGATGAACAAGTAAGTGAAATACACAAAGGGGACGGAAGCGAGGAGGAGGAGTCCCCGGAGGAAGCTTCCGGCTTCGAGGGCGACGAGCATGTAGTAAGGGAAAGCGCTTGGCGACACGAGAAGCGTGCCGTCTAAGTCGGAAACAACAGTTTGGTTTTGTCGTTCATGTGTGCTGCATTTTGAGATGGGTTGGAAACGACGAAAAGCTTCCATGGCGACCATGGCGGAGAAGAAGGAGAAGGCAAAATGAGGGTATAGGCTATGGATATTGGAGTTAGGGGGAGGAAGAAGAGGAAGAGTTTGGAGGAGGAAGCTTGGTGGCTTGGAGATTGTTACGATGAGAGATAGATTGAAGGGAGGGGGATTTAAAAGGAGAGGGAAGAAAAGTTCAGCATACTCAAAACGTGTTGTTATTGAAAGCTTTATCATAAGAATTAACTATGGAATTATGATAGATTTAATTATTATTTTTTTATATCACTAATAATACAGCTAATTTGGATTACATTTACAATTAAATACTTCGTTAGATTATTGTTTTATCTCATCGAGCTGCATTTAAACTTTCTATACTTGGAATTACTATGTTAGTACTTAGTAGCGAGCTTGATATATAGTAGTATTTAGTTGGAATATTGCCTTCAATCGATATTTATTTCCATGCCAAAAAGCAGTTTGGTTGATCTTGTCTTCCTAATTCAAATTAAAATAAAGACCTAAAAATGAATATTAGAGGGGAGGCCTTGTAGTTATGGATGAAAAATTAAATTAAATTAAATTAAATTGAAGGAGTTGATCGATAGCTGGAGACTGGGCTCGAGGCTCTAATGCCCACTTTAATGTTTCTTGTAATACTCCAATATCTTACATATGTATATTTTTTCTTTTGATGGTTGGTCTATGAATAAAATAAAAAATATTTTAATATCTTGCAGTCATGAAGCAATGAAGTTATTAGAATAATTTATTTTTTAAAAAAAATATACTCCCTCTAGTATAAATATTAGCATTTCCTTTTAACTAATTTTAGTTCAAGATATAAGCAACCTATTACATGTGAATTTTGTCCAAAAACTAATTATGTTTTGGACCAGAGGGAGTACTCCTCTATTCCCTATTATACAGAACCTTCTAGAAGGATTCTTGAGTTATTAATTATATTTTTAAATATTATTCATATTTAAACTCATTAATTATGAAAGAAAATGTAATGACAAATTAAAAATTATTTATTTTAAATAGGGTAAAATTGAAAGTGTATTCTATATCCAAACAAAGTTAATAACTTAATTAGCCCTCCTTAGTTCTGATAAAATAATTAAATGTGCCTTATAACTATAAGGACCAAAAGGAGTATATAACAGAGTTGCATTAAAGTGGTATGGGCCTTAACTAACAAGCATTTGGTTCAACTAGCAAGGAAGTTGTGTTTGCCTAACCTAAAATTTTGAATTAAAGCCTTGAAAATGCAGTAGTAGCGTTTAGTGGTAAAGCTTACATTCAAAAGAGTCTTTACTCGACTTGATCTAGATTAGTTGGAATGGACACCAAATGGTAAACTTAAAAAGAAGGGTAAGGGAATTATTACCACAAGCTAAGGGAGAGTGGAGTGGCATTAATGGAATAGATGTGAGTTGGCTAGATTACAAGTAATTAAAGGAAGAGTAAGTAATTAAAGAAGGAAGGGGGGGAGATATTAGACTGGTGAGGGAGGGAGGGTTGAATGAAACGAAATTAAATAAAGTAGGGAAGAAGAGGGAGGGGGAAACGTGAAGTAGGTATGTGTTTTGAAGGAGGAGTGGTAGGCGTTAGGTGGAATTGGATATCTCATTCAATTAGCCTACTTTTTAGTTCCCTCTTTCCCCCCAAATTTCAATTTCATTTAATTTTCGTTAACCCTCCCTCCATGTTAGATCTCCTTTCTTTTACCGTCAAAATATTAGCAGAAATCATTATATTTGAAAACTAAATCAACTTAGTTAATTGAATTAATAAACTGTTGAATCAATATCTTGACCGATTTAATGAAATTATTAATTTATTCAAGATTGGTATGACTATTTAACTATGATTTTAATTATTAACTTTGAATTAGTTCTTTGACGGGCTAAATATAATCAGTTAGTTTTCAGTATATCTTGACAGAAAATACATACAATACATGAATCTCATTATTAGAATCCACAATCTCGTGTTGCTCCTCCATCATTCCTTCTCTCTTATTACTTCTCAAAATAGAAGATCTAGTTTATCATATATGTACAAGGACAAAGAAAAGAAGTTAAATATTTGATATATAATGCTCATGTTTATCAATTTCTTCATACATGAACGATTTCATTAATCAGTATTTGAGGTGCGCCCCAAAGCAGATATATAGAGAGTTGTTTTTTAATAAGATGAATTGAGAAAATTTAAACCAACCATATGCATGTGGGGAGTATGACAATGCCAACTCTTTACAAGCTTGATCGAAGCAGATAATGTGATGGAGACACATAATTGACTATAATAAATGATGCGCCGTGTTATTAATAATCATTATTTATCGAGTCCCTTAGTTGGGGATAATTAAGTACCTTGGAAGGTTAATTTTCTGAAAACTAACAAAATTCATCTTGCTTGGTTCCCTAGATGTCTTCATTTTTGAACAAGTCATCAAGACTTACACTTTCCTCATAACTAGAGAAATAATTTTAATTTACCGTCTATTTTGTATTTCACATAAAAATAATATATTTTTAATATAAATGATTGGAAATTTGAAAAATACAAAATAAATCAAGCAACTTCTATGTTAAAAATTTACTCTTTCCGTGTACCTTGATAGGGTAATTTAATCACAAATAAATATAAACATGACATTAATTTATTCAAATATTCATTAATTATGCTTTTGAGGGGTAAAAGATCATTATTTATTCTTAAAAAATACCATGCAAATGAAACAAGCGAGTCCTGTATCATGTCAAGTCTTATTTTTAAAATTAATTAAATTTTTAAATAATACTAAAAAAATTTTACACTATGCCATGATAAGCTTTATAAGTGCCTTGACATAAAGGTAGAACAATAAACCAACTAAAAGTAGGTCAGTGAGTGGATTAGTGAAAAGATCAGTGCTATATATATATATATATAACTCTTAAAATTAAATAAGGTTGAAGGTTTGAATTCAGTCATTCAACTCCACAATTGTTTTGTTATGATATTTTTCAAGTTTTTCCTTGGGTTTTATGAAAAATTGATCTGAATAAAACTTTTCAAATAAAAATATTTTCTTATGCCTCGATCGCACCTGAATATGGAGGCTGAGGATCTTTGATCCCGAAAAATAAAAAATGAAAATGTACTATAAGGCCTACCCGATGAAGACGGCGGGTGAGTAAATGTGTTAATTAATTTCTTGGTCTAAATCATAATTATACTAATATTTTTTATATAATTTTTTTGGACAATTATATATTAATTAATAATTCTATAAAATTGAGTATGATTGATCACGATAGATTATGATTATTCTATTATGACCAGATCAATAATCTTGATGCTAATACCTCTTATAATTAATTAATAATAGATCTGATCAATCTGATTGTAAGATATTATTGTTTGTTTTCGGAGATGTTATTTAATTTCTTCATCCCTTTTAAATTCACCAAAGAGAGGATGAAGAATAACGTAGGAATAATACTGACAGGAGAGTCTTCAACCTATGCATATCTTGGGACCGATATACAGTAATACATCTTTAACGCAGCAGGCAACAACCAGCATCATCCATGAATTTTTATGACACAATTTATTGCCGCATCACGTACCCTCAGAAATAAATCATAATTAATGAATTGAGAGGCCATTTAGTTCAATAGAGAGAATTGAATCAGTTGGGTATCAAGTTGTTTTGAGATACGTAATTGTATTAAATAAATATGCCAAATATTTTTAAGATGCTCATGAAATTATCATTGATAATAATGATTTTATATAGCGAGAGTTTGAATTAGTCTATACGAAAAGTGACAATATCTTCAGGTTTTTCAAGCTATTGGGTGATGAAATCAAAAAAAGTAAAAGAAATGTAAATAATAATGAATGCATCAACATTGCAACTATCCTGAGACTTTTTTTTTTTTTTTAAGATTTAACTTCCCTCCATTTCTTTTTCCCATTACCCCTTCTCTACTTACAATTCTTAACTCTTAAATTAAATGTTGGAGAAATTTTTAAATAGATCAAGTGCATCACGTCATTTATAACCTGTCCAATTAGAATGTTTTAAGTTATCTAACTAAAATCTTACCTGATGTTATTTTAATTAATTTATTCTTATAATAGAATGTATAATTAATTTATTTTCTTTTCTCTCCCTATTATCATGGATTTTTTTTTATATCTTTATTATCATTCATATCAGTATTTTTATATTTAATACCATCTAAATATCATATTTTTATTGAACAAATTATAAATAACATGGCACATCCTAATCTATCTATGAATTTCTCTAAATCTTGAATGAATTCGAGACAATTTTTACTATTTACTATTTAGATTAGTTTTTTTCAGCTTAATTTTATTCATCTATTTATCTTTTATAATTCAACATTTTAATAATACTTTTTTAAAAAGTTAAAGCATAAATGGGCCCAATGACCAAAAATAATCTTGTGCCCCAGAAAAAATAGATTAAATTTTTCTAAATTTGAGAATATGACTGGTTTATATTAACATGCAAGGAATTTATAATTGAAAATTTAAAACTTACAAATATCAACAGTATATTATTAATAAATATAATAAATTGGTTATAATATAAAATATAATAAATTTTAGATTGTTTATTTAATTTGATCCTATAATATGAGCTATATTTGTAAAAGCTCTAAAATTAAATCCTCATCCTTTACAATTTAATTTTTTTCAAGGGCTGAAATGGAAAGTGAAAAGAAAGAAAGAGGAGCCTAGTCTTATCATTTCATTCGAATGAGAAGGAAAAACAAAACAAAACGTAGGAATATAGAAAAAAAAGTCAAAAGATTAATGATAATTGAGGTGACTCAAACGATGAAGAAAATAAAATTGATATGGATTCCCCTTCTATTCTCCCGATTACTGCTACGAGTTGTTGGCTATATCAGCTTCCAAGAATATTAGGCAGGTCCACGGACTAACAAGAAACGACAAGCAACCAATACGCACACATATTTATTTATTTATAAAATGTTGTGCAGTCACTAAGTTCCCGCACTACACGCACCTTGCTATACGGCGATTTGGCCACAAATTTAATTCAATGTTTAGTCAGATAGAAAAGACGAGTGCCATGG